TGGAGGAGGGGGTGTGTTGTAAGGAAAGGAATCCTGGGGATTTCTACCCCTTCCCTTTTATTTGGCCTTCGGGGCCTTAGACTCAGGGAACTCGCCCATGGCTTTCTTGATGAAGAAGAAGAAATTCAAATTCCAAACCACTTTCACCCTGGAGGAGCTGACGGCCGTCCCGTTCGTGAACGGAGTCCTCTTCTGCAAGGTCCGGCTGCTGGATGGCGGGGATTTTGTCAGCTTGTCGTCAAGGTAGGAGCTAGGGCGTTCGTGCCTGCAGGATATGGGGGTGGTGTTGGCAGGGATCTAGTCATTTGGCAAGTGTGGAAGCCCCCTGGGGCATTAGGTGTTTGGGGCAGGTTTGCACAAGGCAGAACCTGGCCTAAGTAAGTTGGTAGAGTGACAGTCACCAGTCTGCAGGTGACCAGCCAGATACCTGGGGTTCTGTTTTTTCAGGCCCTGCATGCAGCCCTGTAGGCCCATTCTGCAGACTTGCATATAGAGCCCAGTAGGATTTGGGCCTTGAAGGAGTGGGTAGGGAAGGGTTGTTCCAGGCTATCTTGCAGTCCAACTGGCCAGTGGGGCTGTCATATGATTTAGAGACCCAGCCAGCCACAGGTTCTCTGGCTTTCCACTGTGGCTGGGAAGGCCGGGTTGCAGGCACCCCCCAGTCTGGCTGGAGGGTGGTGGCTGGATTTTGGCCAGTCCAGCCTCCTTTGAGTGACTGTCCTCCTCTGGCTTGAGCTGGGCTACTTTGCATTGCAAAGGCTCTTGTCAGGAGGCTGCTGCCCAGTGTGAAAGAAGGGGCAAACCAAGAGAATGGTTTGATCCCCAGCCTGTCAGGTCTAGCTGCCCAGCTTATTGCTGAATGTCACGGAACTACCAGGCTTTTACTTGCTGACTGGGACCACCTGGGGGTCTCACAGTTCTGACCTGTCCAGAGAAATCCTTGGAGTTCCAAAGATGGGGATTCGAATCCTGGCAGTTTCTGGGCTCCCTTTTCATCTAGGAAATTGGGCCTGATACAGGTCTCATCCAGAGTAGATAGAATGGGATGCAGGGCCTGGCCCATGGCCTGGGACACTTGCTCCCCCCACCCTGTCTGCCCTTTGCTCTTCAGGCCTTGTGAGCCTGTTAGCTGCAGCTGCCTCACTATTCAGAGATGGAGATGTGTGTTACAAATGGAGAAACTGAGGCCTAGAAGGAGGAAGTAAGTGGCTTTCCAGGGAACTTGCAGGAAGCAGTGTCAACTGGACTTGGCCTGTTTGGAGACCTGTTGGATGAATCTGGAGGTGGAGTGGGAGGTGGGGAAGAAGAGGGGAGCTGCAGGCCTAACCAGATTTTGGAATCTCTGGTCCACACAGAGTGGGGTACCTCTTCTGTGCACTAGCTCCCTGTTCTGGGAGCTACTTATCTGAGGAATTTGAACAAGGGCTGTCCCTTGTGGAGGGGGTGGCAGCAATCGTTGGTTGCCTTGGAAGCCTGTGATCCTGCAGCCACCCCACACAGTGCCTCGTGGTTTCAGAGGGCTGTGCTCAGAGCTAGGGCCTGGAGTTGGCTACTTATTGGCTGGGTGACCTTGGGTGAGTTACCCAACCTTTCAGATCACAAGAGCCAGGAATTGTTGTTGCTGAGCTCCTTGTTTTGCTAGTACCTGTCAACACCTTGTCATGGAGCAGAGGTAGAGGCCAGGGCATAGGATTATCATTGGCCCCATAGGATTATCATCCCCATTTTACTGAGAAAACTGAGGCACAGAGTGAATGATTTGCCTGAGTTAATAAAATGGAACGTAGATTCAAACTCAGGATTGCTTTTAACCATTACCCTGTTGTGTCCCAGAGCCTCAGTTTCCTTTCTTGTAAAATGGGTTATAAGGGGAATAGATTATGTATGTACTGTGTCTGGTCTGGAAGATTGATGCAGCAGAGGGGTACAGCAGCCCAGGTCTTAGGGGGACATCCCCATGGAATCAGCAGAGTGCCTACTGTGAGCCAGGATGGGGACAGTATCTTGAATCCCAGGGAGGAACTCATAATGAGCCCCAGCCTGAGGTCTTGCCTGGCCTCCCAGGCCCTGTAGCCAGTCTCACCCTACCCGTCAGCCTTTCCGTTGTGTGCTAAGCCTGCCTCCTCATCCAGGAAGTATGGAAAGTTCCAGGTCTTAGCCCACATGGTCTGGATTTCACCTCTATTTTCCCTTCTCTTTTGGCAAGGTGCCTCAGATTCCCTGAACCCAGCAGAGCCCAAACAGCTTTTCCCAGCCCTCATCCTGGATGAAATCTGAGTGGGGAGGAGCTGACATTGAGACCCACAAGGTGCTGGGTTCCTGTTTGCTGCTGGGCAGGTGTGACTGGAGAGAGCAATGATATTGGAACCAGAACCCAGTTTAGAATCATTTTGGCTTTGGCTGGGCTTTTGCCCAAGAGATGGGGGCTTCTGGGTTCCTCCTCCTTCCACCCACACCCCATCCAACCTGGTCTCTAGCCCAGAAGCCCTGCCTCACAGGCCACTCCTCCAAACCACCAGGGCCCCATTGTTTACAAGTTGGGGTAAGGACTGGGGTGATTGGACCTGGTTAGATCCTGGGCCCAGATCCAGTAGTGCATTCCCCCCAACCCCAGGGACCTTTGAGATGGCTCAGAGCCAGTGTTGGCAGCATGGGCTCTGTCACAGTGAACTGCCTGAGGCCCCACCCTGCAGCACCCGCCCTCCTAGCCAGAGTGTTTCCCTCTGTGTTGGGTGCCATGGCAACAGCTGAGAACTCTGCGCTGCCTGACCCAATTTGAACAGGTAGAGCAGGTGGTATGCTGGGGCTGGGCCATTCCCCAGCCTTATCATTCCGACACCTCCTGTGAACAGTAATCCTCACAGCTACCACATTGGGAGCCCCGTGCAGTGTGCCAGGCCCTGTGCTGAGTATTTTGCAAGTGGTATCCCCATTAATCCTTTGCCATCTGGAGAGGCACTGAGATCAGATAGAAGTCACCAGGTGGGAAATGGCAGTTGGGGAAATTCTTTTATCATGGTTAAAGTCCTTTTGCCTGGGCGTATGCTGCATGTCAAGGAGCTCCTCAAACGCACAGTTAGTTGAATCCCCATAACTACCTTGTAAGCTGAGGGCACTGTCCTCACTATGGATGAGGGTGCCCGGGTCAGGAGAGTTGAAGGGACTAGGCCTCTATCACTCAGCTGGAGATTAGCTGAGATAGGACTTGAATTTCAGCAGGTCTGGCTCCAGAACCCTGTCCTGCTATGGTGGCAGTGGGTGAGGAGCAGCTAGAGACCCATGTGACATTCCAGACCTTTAAAGAAGGCTTTTTTCAATAGATAAGGTGGTACAGGAAAGTCCAGATTTGGGTAGTGTAGAGGAACTGAACTAGATCATGGGAGGCACAAAATGAAGAGTTCTCAGGACCCTGAAGCAGGGGTGGGACTGGGGTCACTGGATTTGGGAGCAGGAAGAGGCTAGCACTGGGGCATAATGGGTTCCAGCCTGAACACCTCCCAGATGGAGGGATCCAAGTATGTCTGGGAGGCTTTTCTGGGGTGCAGCGAGCGGGGCCCCAGAGGGATGCAGAGGTCCCAGCCAAGTCTGAGTCAGAAAGAGGCCAACCTGTCCCGAGGTGGAAGAATCTCAAACATTCTGAGAGGGTTTTGCTCCCAGCTGGCATGGGTCCTTTAGCTTGCCCCACGCACATGGCTGGCAGTGCCAGAGGAAGGGAGTGCATTGTTTATCCAGTGGGTGGGGAAACTGAGGTCTAGGGCAGAGCAGTGACTTGTCAGGGTCACTTCATAGGAAGAGCAAACGTGAGGAGACTGGCCTGGCCCTGACTTCTGTGCCCTGTGCCTCAGTACCCCTCAAAACAAGCCCTGCCTGCCTATTGTGGGCGTGGCTTTGTGCCCACTGGGATGGGAGGCCCTGGAGAAAGGCCTTGGACAGGTCAGCTCTGCAGACGGAGGTCCTGTGTTTAGGCCCAGCCCTGGGGAGGCCAGGCAGGCTTGGTCTTTCCTCACATGTGCCATACACTTGGCCAGAGCCCACTGGCCTTGCCCACTCTCCTTGAAAAAAGCTGCAGAATGCCACTTGAGGCTACCACTGTTCGAGCCTGCTCTTAGGGATATCTTGGTGTGGAGCTCTGGGAAGGCAGGATGGAGAAGGATTCTCAGATCTGTCCCGAGGGGCTGAGGGGAGCAGGGACAGAGCCCTGGGCTGTGGAGGCTCAGACTCTGGGAAGGGAGGAGGGGCCAGCAGACAGGTTCCATTCTACGTTTTTTTTTAAAAAAAGTTTTATAGTTGTAGATGGACAACATGCCTTTATTTTATTTATTTATTTTTAATGTGGTGCTGAGGATCGAACCCAGTGTCTCATGAGTGCTAGGCAAATGCTCTACCACTGAGCTACAGCTGCAGCCTCCATTCCACTTTGACCCAGTATTCACCATTGGTCCTGGGCTTCCAGAGATGAGCAGGACCAGACCGCCCTGTTCCTGTGAACTCCCAGTGGGTGGGGCCAGTGTGCCTGGCGGGCATCATGGGAACTCTGTAGCCTAACAGATGTAGGGAGTCTCCTCTTGGATCCCATTAGCCCTTGGCAGACCAGCTGGGGAGGCGTTTCTGTCCAGGCATCTGTACACTTATTATCAGGTGTCGAGTGAGCGCCCATCCAGGTTGGCATGGTCCTGGCCCTCACATAGCTCACTGTCTCATGACAGGGTTCATCAGTGCCATAGGGAGGATTTCCTCAAGGAGGGAGTGCTGCATGGGAGCCCCCAAGGCTGCGTGGCGTGGCCTGGAAGAAGTGGGAAGACTGGACTGGAGGGCCCTGGCCGGAGGCACTGCCTCTTGAGAGGATCAGGCAGGGCACTTTCGTGGGTTGGGGTACGGGGAGGGAAGGAAAGGGATAGAGTAAGTGATGGAAAGGATCCAGGCTGCTGGCTTTGGGAGTCCTCTGAGGGGCAGGTGAGCAGTGTGGCCTGCTTTGCCCACTAGGATGGTAGCTCTTAGCTGCCAGGTGGAGATGATGGAAGGGGGCTTGGAGAGAGAGGTGGAGTGCTGGTCCAGCCCTGGGCGGGGGTGGCAGGCAGAGTGGGGAGGGGGTTCTTCACCCTAGTGGTCCGGCACCATGCCTAGTGCGTGGAAGGTGCTAGAAGATGGACATTCAGAGTATGCACAGGGGCACACGTAGCCGGGGTTCTGTGGAGCCATGCAGTGCTCCAGGAGTTGTTGATCACATAAAAATTCTGACTTTC